TATAAAATTTTATTAGATTTATTTGGACATCTAATTTAATTTTATGAGTTTTAGAAAATATTTACTGCCGTAGTATTTTTCTAGAACTGTCTGGGGTGAGCGCGGTTCACCCGGTGTATGTATATCTCTATTGCTTGTGTGGATGTATGATATGCATGGTGGATGATTGTGGCTATAGTTTATTTGATTATAATATGGCCTGCGTGTCGTGCCTTATCTCACAAACTCTTGTTGTAAATCTATTTCTCTCTCTTACCTCAACCGAGGATTCTTCTCTCACGTGGTGGTTAGAAGACGAAAAGATTTGAAAACCTTTTGAATAAATCTAAAAGAATGGAGATAGCCCGAAGTCCAAGTGCCCGGAAGCCAGTGGGAGCTATCGTTTTATTTTTCTTTTAGGGGCCACAATCATTACACATTTATTTACTGCGTTTTGTGAATGCATGTTGAATGTATGTTGAACGCTAGTAATGGACATGTGCGCGGCCATGTCGATAGGTGAGATCGAAATTATAAATCCCTCACGAATATTAAGTCTGTTGCCTTCTAACGCCCGACACCTATCCGGCTAATGTGCACTGTCATGTACTCAGCCTCAGCAGAGAATAGTACGGTGTATGTTAAGCTGGTTACGGGAACCGCCATAGCGTGGTCGCTGTCGCACGTTGGGTTAGACTTAACTGAGTCTCGGTCAAATGGATGGACGACTCAGAGGCAGTAAGTTGGGGTCATCAATGACAAGTCGGATGATTTTACTCACTCATCCAGCCAGGAGTTGGATCTTTATGATTTAATTGGAACTCTTTTCCTAAACAAAGTAGTCTGCTTGTAAGACGTGCCTCAGCCAATTACAAGTACGGTGAAAAGGTTTCCTGGTCCGGTTGTAGTAATATTGTTCGCCCAACACCAGACCAAGAGCTGAGAGCCCGGCTCATCAGTTGGAACTATGTTCCTACCAAAATAGTTGTCTTGTGGAGTAACGCCCAAGCGGAACGCAAGATAATGAAATATGGATCTTGGCCCACTAGAGGTTTCGCCGGAAATCTCCGAATCAATATCGAGGGTTATTGATTTGTTAAAAATAGTGGGAGATAATTAATTAAAGGCCTAATTAATTATTAAACATGATAGATAACCTAGTTTGCAAAATTTTCTGTAGATGGCAAACAACAACAACCCTTTCAACCTGTGATATGTTCTAGAAAAAGAAAAATTATCTGGAACCAACTTTCTTGATTGGGAGATGAATCTTAAGATTGTTCTCGAATGTGAGAAAAAGCTCTACGTCCTTACCTCTGAGCCTCCCAAAGCTCCTGAAGCGAACGCCCGTACTGCAGAAATTACTTCGTACAAGAAGTATGAAGACGACGCACGTGATGTGAGATGTCTCATGCTAGCCACCATGACCCCGGAGCTCCAAAGGCTCCATAAGGACATGGAAGCTCATCCTATGATGACTCGCTTGAAAGGTCTATACCAAGGCCAGGCTAGACATGAGCGTTTCAAAATCTCTACGACTCTGTTTTCCAATAAGCTGGCAACGGGTAACCCAGTTGGTCCCCACGTTCTCAAGATGATCGGTCAGATTGAAACTCTTGAAAAACTGGAGGCCCCGTTGCACCCTATGCTGGAAACTGATCTCATCTTGGGATCATTACCAGCTGAGTATAGTCAAACTGTAGTGAACTTCTACATGAACAAACTAGAGATGACTATGCCTGAGCTATTGAAATTCCTCAGAACTGCTGAGGAGAGTCTAGGGAAGGGCAAGGGTAAGTCTGTCCTGATGGTAGAGGGCAGTACTATTGCGAAGAAGAGTGGGCAACGTTCGCCGGCCAGGACCAAGCGCAAGGGTTCTAAGAAACCCAAGCCAGCGTCCAACTCCTCTTCGTTGAAACCCAAAGAAGGAGCTAAAAAGAAGTCTGATGTATGCTATTATTGTGGCAAAAAGGGCCACTGGAGGCGCAACTGCACAAAATTACTGGCAGAGAGGAAAGAGGGAAAGAAACCTCAAACCTCAGGTATCTTTGTCATTGAAGTCAATATGTCTGATATCACCTCTTGGGTGATGGATACTAGATGTGGTTCTCACATCTGTACTTCCATGCAGGATCTGCATGAACGTAGACAATTGACGGAGGGAGAGATACAACTAAAAGTCGGCAATGGCGCACTCGTAAATGCATTAGCCGTCGAAACCTATAGTTTATCTCTACCTAGTGGTCTTGTATTGCAGTTAAATAATTGTCTGTTTGTACCCAGTATGAGCAGAAACATCATTTCTGTATCCTGCCTTGACAAAGCAGGATTTTCGTTCGTTGTAAAAGACAAAACTCTTTCTGTCTTTAGAAATGAAATATTTTATGCAAATGCAAAAATGACCAACGGTCTCTATGTCCTCGACATGGATACCGCAGTATATAACGTAGATGTTAAGAGAAACAAACCTAACAGTTTGAATCTCGCGTACCTTTGGCATTGTCGTTTGGGCCACATTAACGAGAAACGCATATCTAAGTTACATCATTCCGGTGTACTTGATTCATTTGACTTCCAGTCATATGATGTATGTAAATCTTGTTTACTTGGTAAAATGATAAAGGCTCCATTCACCGATCACGGTGAAAGGGCGAGTGACTTATTGGGCCTCATACACTCCGATGTCTATGGTCCAATTAGCACTGTAGCTAGAGGTGGTTATTCTTACTTCGTTACATTTACTGACGACCTTAGTAGATATGGATATGTGTATCTCATGAAACACAAATCGGAATGCTTTGACAAATTGAAAGAATTCAAGAACGAAGTAGAAAAACAATTAGGCAAAAGTATTAAGACCCTCCGCTCGGATCGAGGAGGTGAATACTTAAGCCTGGAGTTCGATGACTATCTGAAAGAGCATGGGATCTTATTCCAACTCACTCCTCCAGGGACACCTCAGTTAAATGGAGTGTCTGAGAGGAGAAATCGGACTTTGCTAGACATGGTCCGGAGCATGATTAGTCTCACAACATTGCCAGAATCATTTTGAGGATATGCATTGAAAACAGCACCGCACACACTCAACAGAGTTCCATCTAAAGCTGTCGAGAGCACACCATACGAACTATGGCGTGGGAGAAAACCGAGTTTCTCGTACTTTAAGATTTGGGGCTGTGAAGCTTATGTAAAACGTCTCATGACGTCTAGTAAGTTGGAGCCTAAATCTGTTAAAGTAATTTTTGTGGGATACCCCAAGGAAACTAGAGGGTATGAGTTCTATCATCCATCCGATAACAAAATTTTTGTTGCTCGGAATGGAACCTTCCTTGAGAAGGAGTTTCTTTCTGCTATCACTAGTGGGAGAAAGGTAAACCTCGAAGAAATTCGAGAACCACAAGAAGAAGTCCCGATAGTGTTGGAACCTGAGCAAAGAGTTCAAGCAATTGAACCTCAAATTGCTCAAGATATACCACGTAGGTCAGACCAGATACGTAATCCTCTGGTCAGATACGGATTTCTCATGTCTGATGAAGGTGACGTCTTGTTGGTAGATCAAGGCGAACCAGAGACCTACCTCGAGGCAATTACATGCCCCGAATCCGATCTATGGCTCGAAGCCATGAAATATGAAATGGAGTCTATGTACACAAACCAAGTCTGGACCTTGGTTGATGCGCCCGAAGGGGTAAAACCCATTGGATGCAAGTGGGTCTTCAAAAAGAAGACAGACGTAGACGGGAAGGTTCATACCTTCAAAGCTAGATTGGTAGAAAAAGGTTATAGACAAATCCACAGAATTGACTATGATGAAACCTTTTCTCCAGTTGTTATGCTGAAATCCATTCGGATAATGCTTGCGATTGCAACCTATTACGATTATGAAATTTGGCAGATGGACGTCAAAACGGCTTTCCTTAATGGGAACCTCAAAGAGGATGTCTTCATGACACAGCCTGGTATACGGTGGTGAGGAAGAGCTAAAGGTGGTCGGTTACACTGATGCTAGCTTCCAAACCGACAGAGACGATTCAAAATCACAAGCAGGATATTTGTTTTGCCTGAATGGCGGAGCTTTTAGTTGGAAGAGCTTTAAGGAGGATACAACTGCCGATTCGACTACAGAGGCTGAGTACATAGCTGCCGCCGAGGCAGCTAAAGAAGCTGTTTGGATCAAGAAGTTCATTACTGAACTTGGAGTGGTTCCTAGTATTAATGACCCTATCTTGTTGTTTTGCAACAACACTAGGGCCATTGCACAGGCAAAGGAACCGCGATCTCACCAGAAAACCAAACACATTGTACGATGCTATCACATCATACGAGAAATCGTAGATAGAGGAGATGTGATGATTTGCAAAGTAGATACTGACGACAACATAGCCGATCCCTTGACCAAGCCTTTAGGAAAGCTAAAGCATGAGGGTCACACTAGGTCCATGGGCATTCGACCAATGCCAGATTGGCCATAGTGCAAGTGGGAGATTGTTGGAGTTGTGCCCTGATGTCCAACTGTTTATCATTATGCTATCATGTATTGGCAGATATAATATGTTTACACATCTCATGCTAATGTAAACAAATATTATATTCCAAGATTTATATTTAAAGATGTTTATCAGATAGTGTTATTCTGCTGATGAGACTAACATCTTGAAATAAATATTTATCTAAATGTCCATAGTCAAGTATTAACGAGAGTGGGATATCGTTAATGAATGTGAGACTAGTGTGTGTTGGATGTTTGACTTAGTCTCATAGTCAATGACGGTGTGTTCGCATCCGCACATGGGCAGATATTATCTAGAGATAATAGGATGCCGGACTGACCCATCCTAAAGATGTTGCTTGAATTTTTAGTTCATGCTCTAAATATCTTTAGCGCGACCACGGGTGTAACTATCCTTCGACTTGAAGTATTACGTTTTCTGCATATGTGAACCCGCATACTTTGATGCATTGTCCTAATCCATATGAAATAAGGATGGTATACAGGCTTTGTTTTGGGTATTCCGCAGCGCATATTCAGAAACGCAGATTACGTACATAGGATTTGTCACTACTCTTTTTAAGAGATTAATGTCTTAGGGGGCCCACTGATAAGTTATGATTGAGGAAATTGCATGGCCATGCTGAGATGTTTTTATGACGTCTGTTCCTATCAGTCAGACTTGATAAATCAGTGAATGACTTAATGGATATAAATTGGATTTTATTAATCCCTTGCATTAAGTTTAGACATTGAGACAAAGGGATACAATTACACGGAGTCTGAGTCGTGGAAAGGTTTTGACGGTGCAAACGTCTTAACTTATAATCTGGGGGTAATAATGTGTTGCTAGATACCGCTTATTGCTTATAGTATTGGTGCAGAGCCAATACTGTGGCCAGCTTTATAAGTGCCTATATGGGTCACACACTTTCAACGCTCTTCCTACGACTTCTTCGTTTTTACCGCTTACGGAGAAAGGTACAAATTTCTTACTAATATAAGTTTTAGTACGTGATTCTGGGCAAGATAATCATGTTAGGATGTTAAAATTTTTATATTCCGATGCCTATCCTCTTGCATAGCCAAGGTCCAATGTTCATCGTTTATTGCTTCGGAAATGATTGTAGGTTCAATTTGAGAAACAAAAGCCATGTGACCTACGGTGTCCCTAAGAGAATTACGAGTACTTACCCCGCGGTTGATGCTGCCGATTACCTGGTCAAGTCGATGGTTCCTGTGCGTTCTCCAAGCGATGGGAAGCTCGGTTTCCTCTTGTTCCTGGGCTTCCTCTTGTTCTTCTTCGTCCGCTTGGTCCTCATTTTCGACCATCACTTGAGGTGTTTCCTTAGGTTGTGGTTTCGGGTTGGTGTATAATGGCATGTCTTCTTCATCGTCTTCAACGTGTAATCTTTCGAGTGAATCTACAAGATCATCACAAATAGCCTTTCTCGCCAAGCGAGCATTATCTTCGGAAAATACAACATGAGGGGATTCCTCAATAGTCAAAGTGCGTTTATTAAAAACTCTATAGGGCTTGCTACGTAGAGAATAACCAAGAAAAATCCCTTCGTCCGACTTGGCATCAAATTTTCCCATGTTATCTTTGCCGTTATTATGAATAAAACATTTGCAACCAAAGACTCGAAGATGGGAAAGGTTTGGCTTTCTTCCTTTGTATAATTCATAGGGCGTTTTCATGAGTACTGGTCGAATGACGGCTCGGTTTAATACGTAGCTCGCGGTACTCACGGCATCCGCCCAAAAATACTTAGGAATTTTTGCCTCATTGATCATAGTTCTGGCCATCTCTTCGAGACATCTATTTTTACGTTCCACCACTCCATTTTGTTGTGGTGTACGTGGGGCTGAGAAGTTATGATCAATGCCAAGTTCATCACACAAATCTGAAAATAGATTTCGTTCAAACTCTCCCCCATGGTCGCTTCCTATGGCTACTATGGTTGTGTCTTTTTCATTTTGAACTTTCTTTAGAAAATTTTTGAAAACGTGGAATGCCTCACTTTTATGAGTTAGAAACAAGGTCCATGTAAACCTAGAGTAGTCATCGACAATCACAAACGCAAAGTAATTGCCACCAAAACTTTTCGTTCTAGAAGGACCAAAAAGATCCATGTGCAAAAGTTGAAGCGGTCTAGACGTTGACACAACATTCTTAGACTTAAACGAAGCCCGAACTTACTTCCCTTTTTGACATGCATCACATATAGCGTCTTTTTCAAACTTAAGTTTTGGAATGCCAATTACTAAGTCTTGTGAAACCATTTTGTTCAAAAGGTTCATGTTCATATGAGCTACCCTTCGGTGCCATAACCAAGTGTCTTCCTCTTTACTCATGAGGCACTTAACAAAGTCGGAAGGAGATTTGTCTAAGTTAACCATATATATGTTATCGATTCTATCACCATGTAGAATGACCTTATTGTCACTAAGGCTTTCTACCGTGCATGATTTTGAACCGAAGGTCACACGGTTTCCCTTGTCACATAATTGACTTATGCTCAAGAGATTGTGTTTAAGACCTTTAACAAGCAAGACATTATCTATAGAGGAGTTTTCAGATTTACCTACCAAACCAATGCCGATAATTTTTCCCTTGCTATTATCTCTAAAAACTATGTTTCCTCCTTTAACGGGTTTGATTTGGAGAAACTAGGATGCATCCCCGGTCATGTGCTTGGAGCATCCGCTATCAAGGTACCAAAGTACACTTGATGCCTTCAAGCACACCTATGAAAACACATCAATGAGTTTTAGGTACCAAATTTACGTTGGGTCCTCGGGTGTTAGGTGTGTGATGGTAGTGTGCTTGATTTTGTGATAGGTGCCTATGCCTAGTGTAACAAACGGGAGCAATATGGCCTATCCTATTACAATAATGGCAAACTACGTTGGGATTGTACATGTGCATAGGTTCATAATAGTTAGAGGGTTTGACCATTTTGTTCCTATTTTGTGAAAACAATGGTTTTTGAAAATTTTGAAACTGGCCTTTTCTAGGTGCTCTAGCATTATTTCTTCTAATTTGAGAAAATTCGTTTTTATGCACAAAATCATTTTTCTTAGGTTGTCTACCATGACCATTTTCGTTCCTATGTTTTAGTCTAGGTTGTCTAGTGTCCTTAGGTTGACTAGGTTTTCTATTATCTTGATTTTTAGGTTTCTTATGTTGAACCTTAGATGATTTTCTAGGTGGTGGCTCAACATTATCTTTAGCTTTATTTTTATCAAAACCTATTCCTTCCTTAGAAAAATGCATAGTGTCAAGAAGTAAATTTAAGTCTTTGTGAGGAGTATTAAATTTCTTGACCGTGCTCTAGAGTTTAGCAACTTGCTCTTTTAAAGTTTTACAAGACCCGCATTCACTTGATGAGCTTTCTGGTTTGTCAGCGCTTATTTTTCCAAAAAAATTGTTTTCTTGTTTAAGTATTTCATTTTCTTTTTCCAATTTTTCAAAATCGTTTTCAAGTGAGGAAAGACGTTTCTTCAAAGATTTATTTGTTTTAGAAGCGCTAACAAATTCCTCATAAAGTTCATGAAGTGCTTCTTGCATTTCTTCAAAAGTACAGGAGTCGGAAAAAATGGTACATACCTCTTGGACGTTGTCGTTTTGATCTTCGTGCGCCATGAGGCAGAGATTTGCAGCTTCGTCCTCTTCTTGGTCGGTTGATTCATCGCCGGTGTAATGCCCTACAACCCGGTCTAATAGAATTGATTAATTTAATTAATTAATTACTGTTCTCGATCGGAGTTGGAAAATTCAAAAGTTCTTAGAAAAATTATTTGATCATATCATTAAATTCATCTTGACTGTCTAATTCCAGAAACGCAAACGGATCTCAATTCGGACCCGTTCGGGGGGAAAAGCGCGTACCATTCAGGTCAGATTTTACACTACGGAGTAGGATAAGTATTTGTAACCCCCACCCAATTCTCACGTTACTCACTCTCACACACATTCAAGACCCATTAAGTCTCCATCATTTCCCTCATAATTGGTTTCAATTAAAAACCCCCAACCCATTCCTTTCCTCCACCATTTTTGTAACCTCCCATAGTCATCATCACCATCCACCTTCCTCTCCCCTTTGTTCGGCCAAACCAGCAGCAAGGAGGATCTCCGGCGAAGTTCCGGCGGGTGCAAGGTTGAAGGGGAAGAAGGGCTAGGCCGTTCGTGCGAAGCGTAGTCGTCGTTCGTCCGTTCGTTGGTTCCTTGCTAACCGTTTGTTCATCTCGTCTCATAATTTCATCAACCCCTTCGTTTAGAGGTGAGTAGTTGTACCTCTAACTCTAGAACATTTAGTTATAATCTATGTCGTTGTATTCATAGAAATATTGTACACAACCTACGTTGATTCTACGCATGTTCGTATTCAACTTATGTGAGCCCATGTTATTAAGTTATGTACTCATTAACATAAATGTTTTGGAACCTCGTAAATTCATCGACTACTTAGCGTGGAAAATGAAAACATTCGATTTTAAAAAAACTTCCAACGTTCGATGGCTACAAACAAATAAAATGGAAATCAGCGTGCCTTGATAATCGAGTTACAGGATAGTATAATCGATTATCAGGCCACGCCGGACTCCTCAGTTGGTTCAGCACAGCGTGACAATCGATTATCCCATATGTGATAATCGACTATCAGGCTCTGCGGATTCTTGGGTCTGGGTTGGCTTCACTGATAATCGATTACCACACAGACAAATCGATTATCAGGTCTCTCTGAACTTAGGACTTTCCAGATAAACCAACTTGACAATCGATTGTCATAGGGTGACAATCGATTATCACGGTCTGTAGGACTTTGGGGACAGAAGCTGCACAGCATGATAATCGATTATCAACAGCAGATAATCGATTATCAGCCAGTTTCGAACCCAGGGCCATCATGTTGAACAAATCGTAATCTAACACATATGTATGAATTGAATTTAACTTTGTTCTTTAATCAAAACATTCATTCCAACATGTTCGTTCTAGACGGATGTTCTAGGTTTTCATCATGTGCATACCGCTGTAGGGAGGACTTCATGCGCCTACTACAGTGGGCCCGTCCAGGAACCTTTGGGGACCAATGGGTTTTCATCATGTTGGGCTTGTGTACGTACATAGTAGTCAGGTTACGGATACTACCAGGTTTTCCTAGTCCACTCGCGATGTTTTCGTCGTGCCCAGCTCGTTACCATTCGGGGACGATGACCGGAGTGCAGGGGTGATCCTGTCGAGTGAGACTAAGCCAGGGGTGTCCCTGATAGCTTAAGTCATGCATCAAGTCATATCATCATCATTATGTACCTCGTTATTCAAAATAGCTTTAACAGGTGAAAACTAAACAGCTAGTAACATGTGGTTTTCCGTACGTTAAGTACAGGTATTGACATGGGTGTAGCCATATGGGTTATCACTTCATGTTCTTTTGTTAGATTCACTCCTCAGCTTTTGCTGAGCGTGTAGTAGTTTTTGCTACACGCAGGTAGGCATGACGGAGCAGGTGCCAACCCTGGAGAGTAGTGACGATGGGGAGATGGGCGGCGCACGGACGGACTCTTAATTACTTTCAATAACTTCATTAATTGATTGGGCATGAACCCACCCTTGTCGTTATTTAATTTGGACTGAACTTATTTAATTACTTCCGCAATTACTCTGCACTTTTATTACACACGTTTTGGGAGTAACTCCCTGGTATTTATTCCTCTAATTAAAACCCAACCGTTTTCTTACTAAATAATCATTAATGTTTCCGTAACGGATGGTTCTCGGACTGTCCATGTAATCCTACCGGTCCGTTGGGTCGCGGGTGAACCGGGTCCACGGAAGGCGGGTGTTACAATTTGGTATCAGAGACCTAGTTCGGTTTTTGGAAAAAAACACAACTTGTCGTCTTGTTCAAAAGGTATTTTCAAAAGTCCACAGCTGCATCTCCCATCGCATCATTCCCAGGGAAAGGTACACCGTTATTTAGATCACATGTATGTCATATTATAACTAGTTCTGATTAAGTTATTCCTTTAGAGAATGAGTCAAGCAGCTGGCAATGACGGACAGGCGGTCCCAGAGGGGGAACCTGAGCACGTGAGCATGCACACTGAAGCGTCGAGCTTCACACCTCAGCAGGCCTCCGAGCAGGCGGTCCCGGGCGTGGGCCCTATACCGGAAGCCATCCCTATCGTCCAGCCACAGTTCGCGGCTAACTTCATGAACTTCCTCTAGCAGATGGCTGGAGCTTACGTGCCACCACCGCCGCCACCAGGGGCGGTGGTCACCATCGAGAAACTCCGGAAGAATGGAGCTGAGGAATTCTTGGGCGATCAGATCGCCGACCCCATGATTGCCAAACGGTGGTTTGAGCGAACCACCCGAGTGTTGGGGAACCTGAGGGTTCCACAGGAACAGCGTGGCGACCTCGCAGTCGCATTACTTCAGGATTCCGCCTACGACTGGTGGAAGCGTGTGGGAGCAGACATCCCGGAGCCCGTGCAGTGGGCCACATTTGACTTACTCTTGCACGAAGAGTACATCCCTGAGCACTTCGTCGAGGCGAAGCGGGAGGAGTTTTTGAAGTTCACCCAGGGTGAACTCACACTGCCTGAGTATCGTCAGAAGTTTGACGAGCTCGCGGGGTTTGGGCAAGACCTCGTACCGACCGTGGAGAAGCGATGCAAACGCTTCGTGGAGGGTTTACGTCCCGACCTTTCGACCCATCTGATCATTGCTCCCCGGAGTGACATCAACGCGTTGTACAAGAATGCGTTGGATTTAAATGCGGCCCTCATCAAGAAGGCTGAGTATGAGCAGACGCTGGGAGCGTCAACGGCACCATCTCGTCCTTCTCCACCCTAGAAGGCGGGGACCAGTAGCAAGAGGTCCTTTACAGCGCCGAGCAGCTCTCACCAGAGTAAGAAGGTGAAGTCAGCCCCAGCTCAGTCATCTGCGTCCGTATAGAAGAAGGGCAAGAGCGGGGATGGGTTTCGCAACCCGATTTGCGACCTTTGTGGGCGCAGGCACCCAGGAGAGTATTGGTACACTCTTGGCCTGTGCCTTGGGTGTGGCCAGGCCGGGCATTTCCGAAAAGATTGTCCGAAGAATCCGGGTGAGGCATTCTCGACCGCACCAGCCGCTCCAGCCCCAGCAGCGCAGCCCGCCCAGAGTCAGAAGTCGGCGGCAGCATCTAGCCAGCCCAAGCAGCAGGCATCTGGCGCTTAGGCGGGGAAGGCTGTAACGCCCCAAAACATACCCTAAAATTTTTAATTAATAAATATTCAATTAGTCAAATTTGTTTCGATTAAAATAAATAGTTATTGGGCTTTGGGCCGAAATGAAATGTGTTTTGATATCCAATATCTTAATCTGGATAAATCTCATAGAAATAAATCCAATATGTTGAGTATTTGTGTGGTCTTGATTGAGAACATGAGTACAGACCCAAATCAAGAATAAATAAAGAAATTAGTTATGTAGTGAACTTTAAAATGATTTACTGAAATAAATCATGATAATAATTAATATGAATTGAATATGAGAACCTTTTTGAATAAAAGTCAACTAAATCAATTTTGACTCTGTCAAAGTCAACCACCCAAAAATATGGTGTCTGAAAAAGTATACCAAATAAACATAAAAATTATATCGTTGGATAGAGCTCGACTGT